ATCTGTATTTGCTAGTAACCGCGTTCCTGGACTTACTAACAGTATTACTCTTTGTATGATTGTGTAAATACATTTTATTTCTTATATTTAATTATTGCGTTTGTTATTCCTTGGAGACCGAATTCATCTCGGAATCCACAACAATATCTATATTATCTATTTATCTCTCTCTCTCTCTCTCTCTATATATATATATATATATATATATATATATATATATATATATATTGTTATGGTCCGGTTCCTTGTACCACGGTGATAGTCCAAGGTAGAACCAATAAAGAAGAACTCGAACACGGATATGGAATAACACAGATATATTACAAACAGGAATATATACAGAGAAGTAGAAAGTGTTAGTACGAACAATCAGGTTTAGTAGTAATTGTCTGAACGCAACTCTGTTTCGGTCTGCCTCTGACTTGACTGACTGACTGACTCGCTCGCTCTGACTGACTGACAGACTCCTGACGGACTTCACTTCAGACTTCAGATTGAACTCCCTGCTTCCTCTTGAGGCGCAGTATTTATTACGTATGGAATCGTCCATTATGTTATTATGAGTAAGGTCCCATAACATACATAGATAGATAGATAGATAGATAGATAGATAGATAGATAGATAGATAGATAGATAGATATTGTCATCCACAGACAGACTGTTTCACAGCTCATCAGAGTGTCTAGACATCCGATTACCTCAAGTCGGGATGTCAACCCGACTGATTTGGTATCAGTCGGAGAATCTAGAATTGGCGCACGGCAGGGATGAACGTGAATTTAAACGTATTATTATTATTTAGATAAACATGCTAGTGATTGGGAGAACCCGACTCCTTTTATTGAAGAATCTTGAATTAGCAGCAGTAACAGTCACTGTTTACAAAACTCATTTTTTCCTCCCTGAGAGCTCAAACGAAATATATATATATATATATATATATATATATATATATATATATATATATATATATATATATATCGAAACTGCAATATTTTTTTTCCCATAATGAAAACACATTTTGAGCAAAAAGTATACGCTACCTGTTTAGCCACGGACAACAAACGAAGTTTTTTTTAATAATTCATCTATGACACAACAGTGCTATAAAGAACGAAAATACATTATTAAATATTTTATGCTCTCATCTGCAATATACAAACCATCCTTTCGATTTTAAAAACGCCAAATAGTTAAATTTATTCATCATATCTCTTCTAAGAGAAATATTGAATCAGCTATATCATGATTCACTTAGATTAATAAAGAATTAGTTGTTTTTTATAACATATCACCTTTTCATTTTAAGATAATACTTAATAGAAAATAATATTAAAATAAATACTGATTAAACAGTAAAAACAAAAAATAATTTAATAAAAATGTTACAGTTTTAATTTAATTCTATATTTTTCTTAAGTCTTATATATTATCATAAATTTAAGTAATGTATTTTCTTTAGAATTAATTTCATACCATACGATTTTTTCTGTCTGAAGTTCTGAGATAAGGAGTTATTACTATTTACACTATTTACATGCATAATATTGTCATCATTCATGTTATTTTAGGTACCTTCATGAGATCGCTAAAAAGAGTATAGCATGACGAAAAAGACGCCAAACTTGACGAATACAAAACTTTATCATCTAAATGTTTATGTTATTATTAAGAGGAAAGATCAAATTATTTTTGACGTATTTTTTTACATTTTTAATCGTTTCTAGCATTCCAAAATTTTCGTTAAAAATCTTTTTTTTTTTTAGTCAGCAAAATTGACAGATAATCGATCATGTCAGCCATTTTTTCCAATTTATAAAAAAAAATGAAAATCTCATTTTGAAATTCTTTTAAAAATCAATTATAATTTTTTCAAAACTTATTTTAACTTAACTGCGCCGAAAAGACGTAGTTTGAAAATAAAACAAAGCAGGTCACTTGACAGGTGACGAAAGATATTCATGACATTTTGATAGCTTACGTGAGGATAATTCCTTCTACGGAAGAAGAGAAGTGAAACTATTTAGATTTAAGTGAACAAATTATTTACCTCGTTATTTTTAATGAAAACTTTCAGCGCTCTAATTTTTTTTTTTTTTTTTTGTACTTAGCTTTCACCTTTACGTTTACGATGCTTTATGGAAAATATATTATAAAGAAATTAAAATAAGACTGTCGAGAGTTAGATTAAATTTCATAAGAAAGGTATCAAATTAATTTATAGGTATCTTTCTTATTAAATTTTATCAGAAGTGTACATAAAATACAAATTTAAATTTCATAAGATGATACTGATACTTGTAGTTACCCTTCTCAGTTGAGATTGAAAAATCAAATTAACTTCTCCACACGTATTTCGCAAAATAAATCTATCTCAAAAGGACATTTACGAAACTGAATACGGCTTTTAACTAATTTTATAATATTTTAACAACTTAAATGTAACAATCTATTATAATTAAAGAAATAACAAATAATTGTATTAAAAATTCAGTATTTAAGTTAAATACTAGACAGAAACTCAATCCACGTGACTTTTTTTTATTGCACGCATGATTTGATTTACAGTGTTATTATTGACACAAATTATTTTTTATATACTGTTGTTCGTTAGTTTGTAAGAAGCTTTGGAAATTATAATCTATAAATATATATCTACTTAATAACAACAATCGTTAAATTCTACAAACTTTTCCCTAATTTTAGAAGAATTAACAACATAATGTAAAAATAATAAAATATTTCAGAAATAACAAATAATTGTTTTAAAATTCATTTTCATCAAAATATCTTTTTTGCTTTCAGACAATATTGTCCATGTTCATTAAAATAAATAAAAAGCAATTAAAAGCTTTTGAAATTAAATAATATTTTTGTTTTATTGAGTTTTGTATGTTACAATTCAGAGATGATTTTCAGGTAGAGGTGGTCCAACTAAAAAAAAAAGAAATGATTTGGTTTCCTCAAAGCTTTGTGCTTTTAACTAATATAATCACTAATCTTCGCAAAATTAAAATTATAGAGTTTTCGTACAATTAGTTGGTGGGGGGGTAATACATATGAAAAAAATATTTTTGCCATGACTTTAAAAAAGGAAAACATATTTATAAGTTCTATCATTTGTGAATAGTTTCTGAAAGTTTCATGAAAATGTGACAATTTTTTTTTATTTTTGCAAGATTTTCAAAATTAATGTCTGTTATACAGAAAAAACGCGCTAAAATTACATATGTTATTTTACTAGTTCCGGTGACACAAAGAGAAACAAAGTTTTTTTAATCAAAATTTAGAATGTTCTAAAAAGAAGGAAATTTTTTGAAAAATGATTAAAAAATACTTTGATCTTTTCTCTTAATAATAACATAAACATTTAGACGCTAAAATTTTTTTTTCGTCAAATTTGGCGTCTTTTTCATCAAACTATGCTCTGTTTTTAGCGATCTCATGGAAGTACCCATGTTATTGTTATCACAATGTTTCCGGCCACTATGTTGATCGAGGTTAGCTACACGGAATTCTGAACTGAAGCCTTTATTCAATCTACGAGGGCGCACAGTACCACCCAACTAAACGAAAACACCTTGAAAATTTGCGTTCTAAATTCTCACTTTTACCTTGTTTTGAACTCCGATCTCTGGCACTGACAGAAAAGTTCGCCTCCGAGATGGTACACACACACGTACACACACACACACGTACACACACACACACACACACACACACACACACACACATATATATATATATATATATATATATATATATATATATATAGTTGGATTGGCTCCAATTCCTCACTTTCTTTCGGTCTTTTCCCCTCTCTGTCTCTTTCTCTGTCTCCTTGACTTTTCACTCTCTCTTTTTTGTCTCTTTCTCTCCCCCTCCTCATCTTCTGTCTCTTTCTGATATTTCAATGCCACTCTTGCACGTGTATAGCTTTCTAAAAATGCATCTAACTATATATATATATATATATATATATATATATATATATATATATATATATATATATATAACTTTATGTCACGCTGACATTGTTCGTGTATTAAAATCATCACATACTTACCCCTGACAAAAAAACAAGATTGAAAAGAAAGAAAAAAAAGAAAGAAAGAAAGAAAAAAAAGAAATTAAAAACGTCAATCATCAAACGGTATTGGCTGTTTTCGGAAGAAAATTAACAGTTAAGTGGTAAAAAAAATGACAGGCTCTTGAGTACACAGACACATACACACACACACACACACAAAACACACATACACAAAACACACACGGATATATATATATATATATATATATATAGAGAGAGAGAGAGAGAGAGACAGAGACAGAGAGAAAGAGAGAAAGGGGGGAGTGAGGGGGCGGAGTTAGAAGTATAAAGGAGATAGCTATGACTGGGAAGAAGAGATGAGTGATGGATAAATTCAAACAAATGGTGGGTGTGTTGGGGAATGTCTAAAGAGAACGAGGCAATAAAAACATGGGGAGGGCTATATAAATGGGGAGGTCTATATAAATGGGGTGGGCTATATAAATGACTGTGCCGTGAGCTCTTCTCTCTCAGTGGCTAATAGAATAGTAGGGAGGAAACATCCAATCCACTTCAGAATCAGAAACAACCTCTTGCACTTGTCTCATCAATGCAGCTGCCACTGCCTTCGTAACCGCCCTCTTCAGGGACACCACCGCACCTACTCGTTGTCACATTCTTTGCCTTATCGATGCAGTAGTAGCTAGTGTTTTTTTTTTTCCTAACTCATTGCCACAATTGTTTTTTTTAAGAAAAGTTTAAAATTTTCCTCATCCTACTACTACCGATAAAACATAGCTACAAACTTAAATGTTAATTAATAGCTCCTGCTACGGAGACAACATCAAACAAAGGGACACTTGATATAATCTTTCTCATTGTAAGGACGATCTGAACCAGTATCGTTATCTTTATTTAGTCGATTTATTTTATCCATAGGTTTGGTCTAATCTTCAACAGCACGCGCAAATGGCTTTGCTTTTTCAGTTCTGCTACCATTGTGTTATCTGTTGTCTATGTTGCGGGCTTGTTTTCGCCAAAGACAGTAACTCCCTGAAGACACGACATAATAGTGCCCACCAAAAACATGAGAAGCAATCACAAAAGCGTGATAATCAACAGCCACTGGACATAAAACCAAAATCGCGTCCCTCTGCTCACGCCACTTCTTCCCGCTCTTTGGAATCGGCAACTGAAACAAAACAGACAGAATCATCAGGCGTATTATTGGTAGATTCGATTTACCAGTCGGTGACAGAGATTGCCGGAGTTAATAACGCTGAGACTAAACATTATTTTGGTCCCAGCAGAGTCGGAGAAAAACATGTCGGTCGTGACAATAACGCAGCAAACGAGGATGATGTATATATATTAAGCAAACGTCAGTCTGCGACGGAACGCGCCGACAAATCACCATCAATTGCTTCGGAGATCGTCGACGCGCGAAACGTGTTAAAAAATGGAGAAGACCACCAAGGAAAAATACACAAAGGAAGTAATATTGGTAAAAACTTGAACAATAATCTCAACTCTGATGGCAGCGAAATCTCTTTCCCAACTAAGGAAGATTATCTCCATCGTTACTATGGGATGAACAGGAAAGAGAGGCAAAATATCAAGCAAAGAAAAAGAGCTCGGGATGAAGAGAAGGAACGGGAAAAGATTATCTCATCCGCAGCTTCTTCCAAGCCAATGACAGGGCCAGCTTCTCTGTCAAAGGCGAAAAGTGTTCATGAAAGTAACGGACAAAGTCCATCTGACGAGGACAGCATCAATGCAACAGGTGACAGAATGACAGAAAACAACAGAAAAAATCTATATATATATGACAAACATCATATCGGCGATGAAATCAATTACATTGAGGACGACGAAGATGATAATATGAATTATGCCGAACACGTTTCTAAGTATACTGGAGGCCGCGTGAAACGACGTGTAGCGAGAGTCAGGGACGAATGGCCGTACGGAGACGATCGCAATGTCGGTTACGCAGGCTACCGAGAGAAGAACAAGGAGCGATATAGCGGGGGAAGAAGTAGGAACCGCAGAGGTAAAGGAAGGGGTTCGAACCCGTATGGGCATGAGAGAAGCGACCTGGAAGTGGGACCTAGCTTTGATCAAGTAAGCTCTGATGATCCTGACCCTGCAGAATACCCCATGGCACGGTCCCCTCGCCGCAGTCATCAAAAGACGATAGGTATCGGAAAAGGTGGTGGAGGTGGTGGTGGTGGTGGCAGGAGGGGAGGAAGCGGTGGAGGTGGAGGCGGAGGACGAGGAGCCGGTCGGGACCGGCGTTATGGAAATCGACACGACGAGTTTGACAGCAGTGAACGTAGCTACCTGGAAGAAGAATACAGTGAAGTAAGGCCCCACTCCGCATCGTCACCGCCTTCTCTTTCTCCTTCCCGCCACTCCGACACTTATGCGCGTTACTCGGAAGACCCGTCCGGAACGAAGAACCCCAAATCTCCGACTCAGAAGACCTGTCACATTTGTACGATGAAGAAAATGGACCGGGAAATGAGACTCCGGAGTCTGAAAGCACAAATAATTAAACAAATTGGATTAAGTGAACTGCCGAATATTACGAAAAACGACCGTATTCTATCGAAAGTTCCTACCCTAAAGCACATCATTGAGAATATGACAATGCAACGGGATGAACCCTCCTGGCGGGACTTTTCAGACGACAAAATGGATGATATCAATGAGCAAATGATTATCACAGCTGAAAGTCGTAAGTAACAGTTCGAGTTAACTTTTTAAACAATTTCCCTTTTATAATCACCTTCATGTGTTTACATATTTTTTTCTCTATATCTGATATAATGCATTGTCTATAATTTTGAGAAGAGACGTTATCATGCCAAATATTATCCGGACAATTGAACCGCTTTTTCGTATATTTGCTTTTAATAACATAATATTTCGGCTGAATGTCATTTTTCTCCGTCGACATTTTTGTTATTATTCCCCTAAAAAAAAAAGGAAGTTTCATTTTCTTTTAACGGAATACACCCGGCAAGAGCTGAAGAAGTAATCGACCTAAATACTGTTTTAACAAGCATCAAATATACGAAGTAAGAGTTCAGTTATCCGGACATTTGATATTCTGATACAATCTATATCTTCTACTTAATTTTCTGCCCGGAGAAATTCAGTCTTTCTATTCCGACCTTCATCATTCCAACATAAGATTGGATTTGACTGTTGTTTACATTGTGATACGCCATGTCATAGCGGCTACGAGGTCGGATTACGCGGCAACCGTTCGACAAATAGATTCTGAAACACTTAAAATAAAAATATGCCTTTTAAATATTATGTATCGGCATAAATACAAAAGGAAATATATTTCTTGAATATTTACCAAATAAAAAAATGTTCTGACAAAACTTTCACCCTCTAATTACCCCAGCCGCTTAGGAAAATACATCGATATTAAATTAAATAACGGTTCTCGTGT